ACTGTGTGTTCGATCGATTTCAAGTTGTGAAGACCGAAATGGTCTTCACAACTTGAAATCAATTTCCCCCTCCAAAAAAATATCTCTATATATGCATTTGTTATTTACAATATTTGTAATAATTTTTGTTTAATCACTATTTCAACTTTTTTTTGCTAATTATGTATTCGCTCGAACTTTGTTAAAACCTTAACTGTATCCCGAACAACAACCGAAGTTGTAGAAGGAAATTTGCCTATTTTACTGATCTAGGGATCCCCCTTTTCCATATTTTAATATCAACTCAAAATAATTTAAAAATACAAATTTCAATAAAACGATTTATTATCCAACTATCAGAAATTTCACAACATGCCAAGGAAGAGAGGAAGGAGCAATTAAATAATTAAAANAGTATCGTCTAGTGAATCGGCTCGCCGGGTGAACTAATAACTTTTTCATCCGAGGAATTCCTGCGAAACCTGTTGACCTTTTTTTTCTTTCTTTCTTACTTGTACGATTCATTCGCGTTCATATACACCATTAATAGCCAATACAACTATTTTAAATTAACAGGTCGCTGCACTACCACCAAATTTTTCATTGCTTGTTCTGTGACAAAACTGAATTTTGGTCTTTTAAATTGAAATACCTAAATAAGGGGGCAAAATTTCCCTCCGCCCCGGGCGGCTGACACCCACGGTATGCCACTGGTATACGAGCATTTTACTGTGTGTTCGATCGATTTCAAGTTGTGAAGACCGAAATGGTCTTCACAACTTGAAATCAATTTCCCCCTCCAAAAAAATATCTCTATATATGCATTTGTTATTTACAATATTTGTAATAATTTTTGTTTAATCACTATTTCAACTTTTTTTTGCTAATTATGTATTCGCTCGAACTTTGTTAAAACCTTAACTGTATCCCGAACAACAACCGAAGTTGTAGAAGGAAATTTGCCTATTTTACTGATCTAGGGATCCCCCTTTTCCATATTTTAATATCAACTCAAAATAATTTAAAAATACAAATTTCAATAAAACGATTTATTATCCAACTATCAGAAATTTCACAACATGCCAAGGAAGAGAGGAAGGAGCAATTAAATAATTAAAATTATAAAGGATTAAAAAATATATATATAAATGGGGAATATCACAATTCTGACAATCTCTGCGAGTATGTGGGCTAAATTTAAAGAATCCATACTTCTCACATGTACAACTGTATGTGGCCAGCTCACGCGTCGGTAAACCTTCTGATTTATTCGTGTACGCAATAGATGGAAAAACAAAAAATATCATGTATCCACAAGTACTCCAATAAATAAATAGAATTGAAACGACGCTTTGAAATGTTTTTCTGATGAAAATGAATAATAATAATAATAATATAATAATAATAATAAGTTTCAATAAAAATGATAAAATGTAAATTTAATTTTATCATAACAAGTTTGCTTGAATTTCGTTTCTTCTGAGATTGCAGCAATACGTGACGGGTAAGCTAGTTGTTTGATAAAATTTTTCAAGACTATTTACTTCCCATTATCAGATTAAACCTTAATAATAAGCTTAATGACACTAACCAATCAAAATTAAATATTAAAATATGAAATTAATTAATATTCAAACAACAAAAATGTAATTTTAAAAAATTTCTAAGCATTTTAATTTTGAGGTGATTTAATGTTGTTGGTTAGAACTAAAATAATTCAACATAAGTTAATTTGAATTATTTTTGTTCTTTCTATACTAATAACATTGTTTATTAGGTTTTGAATTATCTCATGATTAGAATGCTTAGAAATTATTTTAAATTAGTTTTGTTTAAGACATAGTTATTCTATGTTTTATATCAGTATTTGATTTTCAATGTCATTGTTGAGATATGAATTGAAGATGAGACATAAATAGTCTCAAAAAACATTTTATAATAAATTTAACTTCTTGAAAGTTATTAGCAGTAGTGTCTTATTGATAATATAAAATGGAATCATTAGTCAACAAAGAAGATTTATTATTTACTCAGTATATCAGATTTAATTATCTAAAAAGTTATATTGTATAGTAGATATCAAGTATTTCTAATTAATAACTTTTTGTTATTTTTAGGTTTAATGAAATTGTTTAAATTAGTCATGTTATTAATAGTTCATCATCAAATCAGCTGTATTTCACTATTTTCTATGGACATTTATTTTGGTTTCCTGCATCAAATTAAACTTCCTCAAATATAAAAATTACTTATTTTTCTCTATAACTTTAAGTACTTAATATCAAAATCAACTTTCACTGAAAATTTTAATAAAACATTTAACTGAAATTTTTGAGTGAAAATCAATTGGATTAGTACTCTATACATTATACTTTTGAAATAAATACTTTTACTAATAAAAATTAAACAATTTAAAAATATATTTGCTAAAAATTTACATTGTAATTGATATAAATCTACACGTCAGTTGATCATTCTGTGTGGACTATTTAATTATGAAAAATAATGACATTACACTTAGATATATAAAGATTGTATATTTTCATTATAACATATTGATATATTTAAATAGCCAAAACATCAAATACAAAATTATAAATTTAAATTTATAATTTTGTATTTGATGTTTTGGTTACAGAAAAACCCCCCAAAAATCCATCAGAAAATGCAAAAATCTATAAAAGTAATTTGTTAAATGGTCATCATCAAGCTAAAAGACCTTGAAAGTTCGAATGCAGCTGTTAAAACAAATGGTTTGAAAAGAAGTTTCAGAATTGGTAATTGTATTTCCTGTTGGATTTTTGGGAGGTTTTTGTAGAATTTAATTACATATGCTGTACCTAGTTTGCATTGTTGAATTTTTTTCTTACATTTTTTTAGAAAAAGTTTATTATATGTTACAAAGAAGTTTACTGAATATTTTTTGATTCAATATTCAATTAATTTCTTTCAGCATTCTAATGCATCATGCAGGAGATTTTATCGCCGAAGACCACTTGATTCTTGTTTCACTCATCCTAGTCGCATGATATATCCTCATGATGTTGAATATACTCCACCATCAACACCAGAAAGGCATTTAGGACACAGTCATGTAAAACCAGCTGCTTTTGATGATGTAACATTTCAGCAAAAAATTGTACGCGAGCCAATAGATTTTCGTTCAGAAAGTCAGTAAGTGTTGCATGTATTTATTTGTAAATAGGATTCCATATTATATTTATAAATCAAAATATATGTATTTGGGTTAAATCTGAACACAACACTTTTAAATTTTCTAAAATTATGAATATGTTCAGTAAATCAATATATTATTAAAACAAAACAAATAACAATGATTGTTCTTAAGTGCATTAAACAATATTGCAAATATTTTAAATAATGAACCAAATATGACTTAAAGAAATAGTAAAATAATATGAAATTTTTATATGACTATATAATTATAAAATATTTTTATATGAAATTTATAATTTTTATAATTAGTTGATTTCTTGTATTTTGAACAAAAATTTGCAAGTGAAATGCTAAATTTGCTATTAGATTACTGGCAGTACTTAGATGCTATTGATATTTCAAAAGCAATAATTAATACAGTACAGTAAAACTGTGATTATCTGAGGTAATGGCTTTGGTCATCCATTTTATCTGAGGTAGATGCTACCTCAGATAAAATAGATGACTAAGGCCATTTCAGATTAAAAATTACAACTACAAAAGATTTATATGGTATAACTTTTACGATTCTTTTTACACTTTATTGAATTTGATCTTATATAAAAACAACAATTTTTACATAGTTGTTATTCTAGCTCAGTGATTCTCAAACTTTTTCGATCCACCGCCCCCTTTGTTCCATAAAGTTATACCCAACGCCCCCTAACCCATTTTCTCATGTGTGAGAAAAGGATTGGAAATATTCTTACGAAAACTTTTCTATGAATCTCACACTTTGTGCCCTTACTGTACATTGTTCTCATCATCTGGAAACCATTAAACGCAATGTTTCCTCTTATCAGCCCCAATTTTGCCTTTGGTCACCGTTCAATACCCTGCCTCTATCATAGATCTATTCATCGCGCCAGAAGGGGGCGTTATTGCTTACTTTGAGAAACGCTGAGCTAAAATAAAAGTCAATGTGTTAGAAATATTCAAGTTGTGACCTTCAATAAAAAATAAAAAATATATAAAATGTCAACATTTTATATATATTCCGTCAAATTTTTATATATAGAATTTCTGCCGTCGAGGGCAGAAATTCTATATATTCAAGGGCAGAGAGAGAATTGGGGGGCGTTATTTCCTTAACGCCCCCCAATTCTCTTTGAGACTTCTACTGCCCCCCTGAAAGCCTCCAGCGCCCACAAGGGGGCGTTATCGCCCACTTTGAGAAACGCTGTTCTAGCTTATTGTTTTGTTTTAATTTTAGTTTCAAAAATTCAAAGTTTATAGTATCACTTTTTACAAATTTATCATAAAATACAATAAGTTCATAAAAAGTGATGCTATAAGTTTTGAATTTTTGAAACTATAATTTTTACTTAATTTATTACAAGCTAATATACTGTACTTACCATAGTTTTAAGAATAAAATGTGTATTATGGTAGTTACATTTTTAAAATTGTATTATACAATTATAAAACACATCAAAAACACAAAAATACTCCATATAATCTTCAAATACAATAAATAATAAATCTTACTTTATACTTATTACACCCATTTTAAGTTATTGTTAAGCTTTTATACACAGGCTACAAAGGTGATGGTGACTACAAATCAGTTTGCTCACACGATTGATGTACTGTATAGGTAATTACATTTTAATAAGAACTGGTTTGTTTCAAACTGAAATTAAAATGATAAAAGATAACAGACAGAAATCATCTTGTGATACATGTTACCATTTTAAACTTTCTTATATGAATTATAGTACAGTAGAGCATTGTTTATCCGAATCAATTGGGGACTGAGGTTGTTCGGATAACTTATTTTTCAGATAACCAATTATGTACGAAAAAATATATTAACCTATCCCATGTTAAAATTTTTCTCTGTTGTGTGTCGCTTCGCATTAAATTTTCGTCAATGTTAAGCCTAACATAAAATTTTTAAAATAATAATCGTGGCTATTGTATTGTTAAAAATTATTTCTTTACTTTTTACAAACAAAATAAATATATTGTAAAATATAAAAACAAAAAAAATTATACTTTAGAAGTTAATCTAGTATCAAAAACGTTTGATTCAGTATGACACACAGTCCTCAGAAAAACACCACACAAAAGTGCCAGTGCTGCCAGCTAAAACACACACCAACAAAAAAAATATTGGAGTAGCCCAAGATATAGCCAAAGATTGCAGTTCCACAGCACTAGTGAAAATTTAAATTTGCCAACTGGAATTTTCGGATAACTGACGTTTCAGATAACTGACTTTCAGATAAATGACACTCTACTGTATAAGAAAAATAGTGTATTCACAAAACATCTTCTAACTGTAACACTGTGTAGAGTAATAACTATCCACAAAAAATTTTTATATATCAGTGTTGTGTTTGTTACAATATCTACTAACGTTTTCAACACTGATATATAAAGGTTTTTTGTGGATAGTTAGTGTATTCACTTATGAGTTTGCCTCAGATAATGCAGAACTTTTGTTAATCCAGGCTTGGATATTTGGATTCTACTGTACTATAAGTAATGTACATTATCTCATGTAAAAAAGTTAATAATCAATTAAAATTGCCATTGTAGGCCTGTATTTAGGTCAGATCCTCACAAGTCTCTCAGAATGGCAGGCTGACATTTTAGCTACCTCCTCCATCAATTAAACTAGTTTGTCAGTCACAAATGCTTATTAATAGTTAATTTCTTAATGGTCTATACTTTGACCTATTTCAACTGTATTTTTCACATTTGTAACAATTGTCTTTTGAATTTTCTGTTCAGAACTTTTATATTGAAATGCATTTATAACTTCTGGATTTAAAATTTTAGTTTTTAGGTTTTTCAAATGAAAAACTTAATTAAATAATTTTAGGAAAATTAAAGAATTTAATTTTTATAAATTTTTGAATCCTAAAAACATTGTAAGGAATCAGATTTATTATAAAATATACTATATAAATATTACAGTTTGTCTGCCTGAGGAATGTGTCTGNCAAAGTCAATAAGAATTTTCACTAATTGTAGTCTTATTTAGCCTCTTAAACTTATCAGTTATTGTTATCAGTATAGACAAGTTCTGACAAATTACAATAAACTGATTCCACTATACTAGCAATTATTAATTCTGATATAAAAAATTCTGTATTATAATTAATGGGTGTTTTTCATAACCAAAGCAATTCAATCAATACATCTGTTTATACTCTGTATCTATATATATAACCCATTGAATGGGTATCTGTCCGCGTAACGGTATGCCAAAAACGGGCACTAGAGGTGCCCTAGCGAAGATTTTAAATTAACAATAAATTATTTTTATTTGTAATAGGAATTTACTATTTATACCACGGAATGGTATAAATAATTATTATATGCCTTGCCTTGCCTTATTATATGCCTTGATTAACCTTGCGCTGCACGTTTACAACATCCTGTGACTCAGTGAACGTCACGCATTGACTCACGGGAAATTTGTTGAAAAAATGGCAGATACATTTAAAATCAAGGTTTACAAGCGAATATAAATAAACAAATTAAACTATTTTAAAGTATTTATAGAATGTTTAGTAGGTAGAAATATAGATCCATATGACGCGATTGGGATGGTAAGATTTACCCTCCAAATGAAGGGGTGGTGACCCCCCTCTGTGCGAACAATAAATGTCTAATGAACCATACCCCTACGCATGACTCTTCCCGAGATATAGCCCTCCGAAAATTATTCTATGGGTCACATGACTGTCTGTTTGCCACAACTTATCCTGCGAATGCGCACTCGGGCACACCCCCCGAGTGTGGGTGAGCGTGCATTAATTTTTTGTTCGTGCAGTAGGCTCCCTTTTGACCACTGTGTCACATGACCAGAAATGACATAGGTGAATTTTCAGGTCTTATATTTCACGAAGAGTTGTGCGTACGGGTATGGTTCCTTTGACTTTATTGTTCACACAGGGGGGCTACAGTTTGAGGGGTCGCCATCCCTTCATTCAGAGGGTAAATCTTACCGTTGGGACTTTAACGGAGCTGTATTGATAGGAACAAAAAAGTCAAAGGAACCATGCCTCATGGAAATTTGTAAAGAACACCCACTAGGGGGTGTCCTGGGCTACTAGTATTTAATAAATCATATCAACTCCTTTATGAGTTCATTTATAAACATTTTATATTTTTGGCAAATAAAATTATTTTAAATTTTAATATTAGGCAAAAACTGCATTTCAAAGATAGCAAGAAGATTAAAATATGTATCCTTGATCTCACAATCATTCCACAGAAATTTCTGAAGAATTTAAGTTAGAATTATACATTAATAAAAGAATCACTTTTCTTAGATGTCCCAGGTCATCCTGAGCCACCAACCGTTCAACAGTGTTCAGATACAGAATTATATGCTGTTTGGAATCCACCAAAAAGCGATGGAAATTCTCCTATTTTGTGTTATTCTTTGGAATATAAAAAATCAGGTTAGTTGTATATACATATATTAAAAATATTTGATCAAACTTTTAAATGTATTTTAGATATTTTGTGCTAATTTTTATTATAGAAAAAAATAATATAAAAATTAGAAAAATAATTTTACATTTACTTCTTTATAATACTTGTAAATATTATAAATAAAATAAAATAAAATATATTAATTTTTATTTAGATATAAATAAAAAATAGAGACTATTTTTGATTTTATTGTTATAACCAGTAAAAATAAATTATATGTATTTCTATTCACAACAGTTCTTCAGACTAAAGTATAAATATACAGTACTAAACCACTTTTCAGATCAAAAATCTTCAGTAAATAATCACAGACAGGACTAATATTTTTGATCCTTTCTACAGATCTTCAGGTCAAAGATTTGAATTTGAAAAGCATTTCAATTCAAAACCTTTGACCTGAAGAAGATTCATGGAAAGGTTCAAAAACATTAATCCTTCTGTCTGTGATTAATTACTGGAGTTCTTTGGTTCTGCAAGGTGTTTTAGTACTAAATTCATTTTAAAATTTTTTACTTAAAAATTATGAAATAAAATATATAGTTTTAAACTTATAAATTAAAATAACTTTTTTATTTTAAAAATGGTTTACGAATATTTTTTTCATTAGATAGGAAGGAATATCATAATTTGATTTAAAATATTCCTTCCTATGATATTGGTTTACTGTTAACTATAGTAAAATAAAAAAATAGTATCTTGCTGTAATAGCAAGATACTATTAGGTTGAAGATAAATTCTAGAATTACCTGATATTAACAAGAATATGAATAAACACAAATCTATTTTTAAAATCTATAAGTAACAGAATTCTTACAAAATATTTCATATGGATAGTTATAATATGTATATTTACATAATCAGATTTAAAGTAAGCATTTACAATCCTAAATCAAATAACTGATTCCTAATCAAAATGTATGAGTAGTTTCAGTTTTTATTCATTCTATGTAATAATTAAAAAATAGATTATAATGTACTGTACATAAACCAACATCTACAAACCTGATGTAAATATGTAATAAGCTAACAATTACCAGATTATATTGGGCTATTATATTGCGATTATGTCCCACTCTGGACTGATTCTTTTCTTCCAGAATTTTATAAATTATTTAATTTAATTATAAATTCTGTTGTTGTTGTCGAAACTAATTATAATATTAATTATGTTGAAATTAATTATAAATATTAAATCTAATAAGAGATGACACCTAACACCTCCCTTGGTGATAAATTATTTAGTAATTAATTTAAAATAATCACAATATAATAGCCCAATATAATCCAGTAGTTGTTGGCTTATAGATTGTAATGTACAGTACTTTATTTTATTCTCTAATCAAAATTTAATTATAAAAGTAAAATGAAGATATTTTATGTTATTTATCAATTTATGAATAAAATTTTAATAGAACAAAAGTTAAATATATTTGCATCAAATGACTCACATTCTTAACAATATATATTAATTTGTTTTTTCTTTTTAAAACTTTAAATTTGACCAAATTTTTTTAATATTGATTCTTTTTTAGTATAATCAGTATGGTATTTAATAAAATTAATAAACAAAGAATAAATGTTCTTGACATTACATCACATAAAATTCATTTCGGATTTATAGCTTAATCAACTTTTCTCAGTTACTTTTTCTTTATTTTACAAGAAAGCTTTTAACAATAGCTTCCATAAACTCTGTATGAATTATATAGAAGAAGTTCTTATATGTATAATTTACTAGAACTTTCTACAGTATATAAGGAAAAGAATAACATACACTAAGACTTAAATAGATAAAACAGGAAAACTGTCCTTTTTATCCAAGAGTAGTAGGTTGTCTTAACTGCCTCAGTCATCTGGCCGCTGTCTTCTGTTAGCATTCTAGAATAATTACACCTAGTCCTAGTTGTTTTCCAGTTTTATCTGGTAATGGCAAATTGTTTCAATACATTTTGTTTTATTGTTTTAAGTCAGTGATTCTTAACCATTTTTCTGAAAACCTACCTCATGTGTTCCACAAAAGAAAAGATTTTAAAGTTTTTATTCAAATTTATTCCCATTGCTATATTCATAGATAATTCCATGTTTCTATTTTATTCAGTATATTAAAGTTTATTAGTTTAGTGCTTCATTGTTTCCTGAGAATATTAAACATGGAATTGCTTATCAATTTTTTAAGATATTGATGCTAATGCTCTATGTAATAAAAATTATATGAATGGTGTTCTGCAGCCTCAAAGGTTGAGAACCATTGTTTTAAGTATTAGTAATTTTTACCTTGTGTTGTTTTTATGTTCATTTTCTAGTCATTAAAGTAAGAAAAAGTCTTCCTGTAAAAATATTTAAACTCTATACAATACTAAAAGTTTCCTTAATTTTAATTACAATTAAACATTTTTTGAGACATTTTGTCTCATCATCAGGTCTTGGCAAAAATTTGTAGAAAGTTAGAATTTTTTGAAAAACTGTTCTGTTCTATGTTATTTGAACATTGAATTATAGTACATCACTGAAACTTGCATTCCAAGGCATAAAAAATAAAACATTTTAAGAAATAATATAATAAAATAAAAGTTGCAGTAAAAGTGGGACATGGAATATGGCTTATGACTATATCAAATAATGGAATTTTTTTGAAAACTGTTCAGTTTTTTATTCAAATTTTTGTTATTATCTGATGAGAAAATATCTTGGAATGTGAATATTTTATTAATAGATTAAACTAAATAGTTTTCCTCTTTTCTGTTCGAATTTATTGTTAGTAAATTAATAAATGTAAAAATATCAAATTGAAGAAATGCAATCAAAAAACTTGAAATATATGTAATTCATATAACTTCACTTTTAACATTCAAAAAATTAATAATAATTAAAATTTTTCAAAATATAACTGATTATACTGGGAAAAAACTGACAACAAAAATATAAAAATGTTGAATTTAGGGTTTGAAGCATTTTGCAATTTATTTATAAATAGAAAATTATTAGTCTACAGAAACTATTTTAATTTTTCTTTACAGATGAAGACCAGTGGTCAAAAGCAGCCAAAAATATTGCTCATGAATTCTTTGTCATAAGAGATTTAACTCCATCATCCACATATTATTTACGATTAGCTGCAAAGAATAGATTTGGCTGGGGAGATTACAGTCAACCATCAGAACCATGTAATACATTAGTAACAGGTATTTAAAATTTGTTTAAATTTATAAATTAAAATACTTTTATTTAAGCAAAAGAATTATACATACTTTTAGAAAATATTTAGTTTTATTCATTAATTTTTTCATAATTAATGCTTCATTTTGAAATAATCTTTTTTTTATATTGGTTCAGATTAATCATTGTTAATTTATATAAATATTTGTGTCTTTGTAAAAATAAATCAATAGAAACAGATTTAATTTAATTTATTATTGTAATCTGTATTATTTTTATTATTGTAATACTGTAATCAAAATAGATTTCAATTACAGTATTACAATAATAATTACATAAATACAAAAATAATTGTAATTTATGATTGTTAAGTCAGTAAATAGTAGATAGAATCAATATCTGGCATAATTATAGACATTTTTTCAGGATCACCAAAGGTAAAAATTAGTAAGGCAAGAAAATATCAGCAAGAAATGACAGAAAGAGGTCAAGAATTATTTTTAGATGATTTAGAATCTACTAATTTGGATTATAGTTTAGAAGATAATCCAATAGAATTGACTGAAGGTGATCCCCTTGAATTATATAACTTTGTATCAGAAGTTGCAAGGTTAGTATTCAATTCCTTTGTTTTAATTTAAAATATATTAAAATAAATAAATTTTTAATATGGTCATTTTTCAGGGGAAGATTTTCCATTACAGTTAAAGTATGGGTGAAGCAAAAAAATACTACACTCATAGCTAAAGTCTTGCAAAAAACACCACAAACAGAATCCAGTATTCTGCATGAATTTGACATCCTACGATCATTAAAACATGAACGAATTGTTTCTCTAGAAATGGCAAGCACTAATCCAACTGCAACAATATTCATTATGGAAAAGTTATCAGGAATGGATATTCTGACATACTTTTCTTGCCGTCATCAATATACAGAAGAAATGGTTGCAAAAGTTGTCACACAGGTAGTTTTTTTAAATTAATATTTGCAATAATAATCATGTTCATTTTTTTAAATAAATTAATATTTATTAAAAAGCAAATATGAATTTTTAATCATAATTTAATTATTTATCTTTTTTTGTTTTAAAATTGTGAACTAGCAAAAATAAGTAAATTTTGCTGAAAAATTATATTTTTAGTAGTAATTTGTATTAATGCTAAATTTAAAATGAAACAAATTAATATTTTTATATTTTTTTACATAAAATTTAAGAAATGATCTAACAAAATATCAATACTTAAAGTTTACATTACACTTAACATTTAAAAGTTACCTTTTTAAAAATACTTTTTTTTAATATAAATTGAATACATAGTAACCAAGATTCTAATGATGTTTGGTTGTTAGATATTTGTAAAATAATATGAAATTTTCATTTTGATAAATCTGACAACATATTTACATTTGAATCCATTAAACATTTAATTTTAAATAAAACATATTTTTCTATGTATTTTATGTATGCTTATATAATTGAATTTATATTACTATTTTAGGTTTTAGATGCTCTAGAATATCTTCATTTCCGAGGCATTTGCTATTTAGAATTGCAACCTGACAATGTAGTACTAACAGATCAACATCATCTTGATGTTAAATTAGTAGATTTTGGTTCAGCACAGTGTATTCCACCAGAAGGAGCCAGGGTAAATATTCGTGGATCACTGGAATATCTAGGTATGTATTATATAATTATGTGACTTAATATAATTTTAATTATATATTTGATTTTTATTACACTGTGCAATAATTTTCAAATCAAAATTTAAAATTTATAGTAGTAAAATAAAAGATTTTAAGATTCTAACTTATAATCTGTAGCATTCATAGATACTTTATACAGACTGGATAGCAAGGCCCATAGAAAGAGGCCAGAAGAGGAATTACATCTGAGATTTCTTTATTATTTTATTCTTTTTTATTGATTTTAACTAATAATAATTTTATAAAGCAAAGGTATTTTTATAAGAATAAATTTATTTTAATATAAGATGGAGCAAAATTCATCATACTTAGACATGCACATAATTGTCTGTATTATAGTAAACAGATACAAAATGGTATAAATAGCAGTGCTAAATCTTCATGTGATGTTTTCAATATAACCGACATCACACAGTGTGCACATCACTGCCAGTAATACAGTGGCACAGGCAGCAATGATTCCTGTTTTCACATGCAGAAGGTTTCAAATCTTTTGTTAGTACACTAAAAGTCTTCAAGCAATGGTTCAGATAAAAATCAAGTGAAGAAGTCTGGAGACCGTACTGGTCACTCGTGGAACTTTGTGTACAGTCCAACGCCACAGAAACTGTTAATCTAACCACTGTTGCACCACCTCACCATAATTGGGTGGTATTCCATCATATTGGAAGAATGCTGGGAATTATCCTTCCTCATTCAATGCCAATGACATCACAATGTTCTTCAGTATCTCCCTGTACATTAGCTGATAGACTATCACTTCCCATCTCTTTTGTAATTTGTTGTCCATGATACCAATACTACAAATTTTGATGATTGAACTCTCCATGTATGTAGAAAGTTGCCCTGTCAGAGAAGGAAATGTTGGCAGAGAAATTTTGATATGCTTTCATATATTCTGTATAAGGCTGCAGAATTCGAGTCAGTCCATTTACTGACTCAAATACATAATAAAAAAACTGTACATTAACCTCCTAATAGGCATGTTAATCTCTTTCTTACCTTGTAGGAGATTAACATGCCTGTGTCTATGTGATTTAATGTATTTCCATGTAATGTAAGATCATATTTTATGATGATTCTCTTACTTCATGATCTTTGCCTATTGTAAAGTACTATATTATTTTTATGCCTTGTACGTTTAGAGACACAACTTTGTGCTGGAAATAGCCGTTACCTAATGGGTACTTTATGTGAATTTGCGTTAATGTGCCAGGCCGGGACTTTAAGCGTGCATCAAATTAAATAATGGCAAAGTTAGTCAAACTCAAAAATTCAATATTTAATAACAATTCTAGTAACAATCAACAACAAATTTATTCAAAGAAAAAATCAATAAGAATCAACCCAACAAAACTTAAATCAATCTATTTGCTAACTTAAATCTATTCCCCTTTGAAACTCGACAAAAAATTCAAAGACTTAACTTATGTACAATAATTCTTATGAATTAAAGGTCCTAATCGTCACCTCAATATACTAGGAACCTTTTTCCTCAAGACTTTCTCTAATCTTCGATCCACAAATTGAATAACTTCAAAATCGCCTTGGAACCACTTTATCCTATCGGACACACCTCTCTCGTTTGCTGATACACAGCTCACCATGCTTGTTGATAACAGAAGCTCACCTCGGCCATCTTCACTTGAGGTTTGGTCTTTATACTGTGAGGTGACGTCACAATTCTGAGTGAGATCACTCCCCTCATTTACATACTTATTGCTAACAGTCAACTTTTCCTTTCTGCCTGGCAGCCTATTTCCCGACAATACTCACTAACCTTTTACATTATTCTTTTTTACAATTTTTCAGGATGTTTTATTCTTTAAGGTTTAGCAAGTTCCTAAGTTGTGCTTGTGGGGTCTCCCCCCCTCTTTCTCGGTGCAGACTTACTTTTTTCTGCTTGGGAACGCAAGTGTGCGCGAGTTTTTTTTTTCTATGGCACTTTTTCTCATCGATGAGTTGATTCTCTTTCTTCTATTTTTAAGTTTATAAGATGATTGGTGAGGAAACCTTCGTCCAAACAAAAATAGAATAAAAAGCAAAATAAAAAATAACTAAAATAACGCTCAGACTTGGTTCCTTACAATATCACTAATTACTGTTGATTTTTTTTTTTGGAAATTTATATTCAAGTAATCTGTAATAGCTAATTCTAAATTTTTATTGTCAGAAGATCCATACAAAATGGCTAAGAAGACTTGGGTTTTAAATTTAGTATTACTTACGGGTTTAATACTTTACTATAACCACAGATAGAAAACATTTTGTATGTTAATGAATGTATAGTTGATGATAAAGTACTATTTTTTTGACAGAATTTAACATTCATTTCAATGGGAATGTTTGATAATTCACTTGGTCATGATAAAATGCCATGCTGGATTAATTTAATCAAAGTATATTTTAAATAATTACTTAGAGGCAAGAGTCAGTGTCAAGGGCTTGGTCTACTGACTCCACAGCCCTGATTCTGTCAGCTGTTCACAGAATTGAAGACCAGTCTGGATCATCTATTATCATCTTGTATTGTTTATCTTCAGGATATGGCAAATGTTTTTGCAGTTAATATTGGTCTCCAATGACAGCTGTTGAGTACTCTTTTGAGGGCTTTTAGTAAACAATGCCAACAAGAACATGAATGTGACCTCACAGCAACTTTAGGTTCCAACAACCAGCACCATTTCAATGTTCTCCTCCATATTGAACATTAACAACATCCTTCCTAGTTACCTGCAAAAATACAAAACAGAGCTTATGTATGGTTACTTTTGCCCATCCTGTAGTTGTTAGACTGAACAACTATAATCCTTATGTTATAAGATTGTCCCTCTAGTTTTCTTAAAGATGTATACTTTAAGTGCTTTACAATTTATATAACACCATGATTTATAGAGTAGTCGAAATTTTTACTGTTTTGTTTTTCTACAAGTATTTATTAATTGTGAGAGTAAAAGATAAATGAAGATAGTATAAGTAGAAAAATAACTGTTTAAGGAACATAATTTTAGAGAATCCATTGCTTAGTTATTTGATTTAAATCCTTTGTTTTTGCTCTCTCAGACAAAATCCCTGTAAGTGGCACTTCAGAATAGAAAAAAATTTATTAGTTTTTAATGATTCTCAGATATTTTCAGATTTGTTACTTATTTTTAAAATGAAATTGAAATTCTTAATAATCCAAAATTTCTTTTGCATTCAAATTTAATATAAACTAAAATATAAAAAAATTTTATTATAGAAATTACAATATTAGTTATAAAGACATCCCTCACCAATCATAGGGGTTATGTTTGAAACAAATTGCAAAGTTAATAAAATCAGTTGCCAAAACAGAATCTTTATGGGCACTAAGAAGTTAAGGGAAGGATGGTAACTGAATATAACTATGAATCAAAATAATAGTAATTAATTATTATTATTTTTTAAACAGCTCCTGAAATATTAAAACAAGAAGATGCAAGCACAGCTAGTGATTTGTGGGGCGTGGGAGTTTTGACTTACATTCTGTAAGTAACATTCTATTGTTGCAATAAATTTTAATATCTGCTACATAAAAAAATATTTTCATTTTATTTGTGGTAAAATAATTTTAATGGAAAAATAAAATTAAATGAGTTATGCCAAAAAATTGTGATAATTTTTTTTTTGCATGCATTTAGTAATTTTGAATTATTTCAGGTTGAGTGGAGTATCTCCTTTTCATGGTGAAAATGATGTGGAAACTACAAGTAATGTTCTTTATGTACGTTATCATTTTGATAATTTATATAAAGAAGTGACACAAGAAGCCACCAGATTTTTAATGCAGCTATTCAAGAGAACACCACAGTAAGAATAAATTTAATAATTTTGTACATATTATATTTGTTAAATATCTTTATTTTTTTAAGGTAAAATTATCTCTATTAGAAGTACTTCCCTATCTTTTTCTATTTCTTTGGTTTGAACTGCTCTAACAGAAGCTGCCTCTTCTGTTATAGTGTAATGTTCTGCATGAAAGGAATTATGATGAAAGTATGGTGCACACGGAGCAAACTTTATTTTTGCATCAGAAACAAGATTTCAGGTCCTGATCCTGATATATATATAAAAATCTGGGTGCTGTATTGGGGTGTGTGGAGAAATAATTGTGTGTGTGTGTGTGTATATATATATATATATATACAGTAGACCCCCCTATAACGCTTAGATACGTTCCACGCTAACCGAAAATTACGTTGTAGGAACGATTAAATACATGAGCCAATCGCAGCCCGATAGGTGGGAACTTTACGGACTAAGGCTGTTCGAAAGGTTTTCTTCTATAAAATTAACCGATTCTAGACTAATTCGACTCAACATTTCCAAAACACGTATAATTTTTTGGGA